TTTATTTATTTGGAAAATACTTTATCTCTACTTCACTTATGATAGCTTCACTGGATATAATATTCTTGGTTGCAAGTTTATTTTCTTTTAAGACCTTGTATATATCCTCATACTGTGTTCTGGCCTATGGGATTTCCTTTGAGAAGTCTAATATTAATCTAAGTGCTTTTCCTTTATTTATAACCTGACATTTTGTCTTTCCTCATCTTTACAATTTGATGACACTATGCCTTCAAGACCTTTTTTAGTTGAGTTGGCTTGGAGGTCTTTGAGCTTCTTATATTTGGACGACCAAGTATCTTTCAAGATTCAGGAATTTTTCAAGTATTATTTCATTTAGCAGGTTCTCAACACCCCTTTCCTTTTCTTCATCTTCCAGAATACTTATAATACAAATACTTGGTCCCTTAATGATGGCCCCATATTTTGCATAGACTTTTTTATTCTTTTTATTTTTGACTGATTGGATTATTTCAAGCTTCTTTTCCTTAAGGTCAGAAATTCTTTTCTCCACTTGGTCTGTTTTGTTGTTTAAGTTCTCAGTCATATATATCTTTTCTTATTTAACTGATTTCATCTCCAAAATTTCTATTTTGTTATTAACGAATTCTAGCTTAGTAATATTTTCATTTTTGCCACTCATTGACTTCCTCATTCCATCTCTCTTGTGTCTGAGTTTCCTCATGATCATTGTTTTAAATTTTGTATCTGTTTTTTCATAGATTTCCTGCAGTTCAGGAGAATAACTGAACTTATTTGTTCTAGTCCTTGTTCTAGTCCTACAGGGTAACAACAAGGAATACAGAGGTTTTTACTCTGGATGGTATAAGTGCAGAGGGGTGGAATGCAGGTAGGTTCTTCCCCACAGGATGGCTCCCAGTGGCACAGAGACAATTAGAATAAATTGTTTCAGTCCTGGTGTCAGTGGGCGTAGTCCGGTTATTACCCAGATCTCCCAGGTGCGAGCAGATATTCTGTGTGCACTGCTTCTGGTGATAGACCCAGAAGCTAAGGGGAATCCTGCTGGTTCACATAAAGTACATGAGCATAGTCCTGGGGCTAATACCCCCAAACTCCCACATTTGCAGAATACAGTGGATTGTCCCACGCCTTGACCTTGGACTGTACTGCTGGTGGGAGCAGAATAGAGCAGGCTGGGTGACTTTACTGCCGGGTACAGCGCTGAGTGTGGGTAGAGGAGGGGAGGACAAGAAAGCAATGCAGCGTCCCTTCTTCACACCCAGTAGTGCTCAGGCTCGGGTTGGCTTTCTAGGCTGAAGTGAAAGTGACTGTGGGATTCCCTTTCAGAGTCCCTTTCAGTCCTGTGGTTTTCCTCAATTGTGCTCAAGGGATGGCAATCACTGTAGAGACAAATGACTCAATTCTAAACTGCTTGAAGCAGAAACTAGGGGGTCAAGCCAACAGGTATCTTATTCGAAATTATTGACAGGTTGCTTTCATTTCCAGAAGCCTTCCTTTTGTTGAGACTGAAAAAATCTGTCCCCATGTATTTAGTCTTCTGTGTTTTCACAATCATGTGGCTGCCGTTTAGATCGAGCCTCATAAAAGAGGCCTTAGTGGGTGCCTGTAACACAGATAGTATCCCCAGACTCTTTGTCTACATTTGTTTTTCAAATATTGATCTTTAGCTTAACAGTTCTTTACTGCCTGCAGTATGAATGTAACACTAATTTTTAACAGAAAAGCATAAAAAATAATTCTGAACATCTTCTGGAGTGCTACCTGCATGCCCTATCCACTAGATTCTTGGGAATGAAACTGGTTGTTTGTTTAAATAATAGCAATGGTCAGTAGGAACTTGATGCATATACAGTGTCATATAATGAAAAACCATTCATTAGGCAGCATATTTTTGTTTTGGTTGTCTTTTTTTGTTTGTGGAAAATAAAAGATTACTATGTTAAATGTAAACATGGTTTTAATGTCTGATTTCAAAGACATGAAAAAGCAAAGTGTTTTTCTGAATCTTGAAAACACTGATTTGAATAGAGTGAACAGCACAGACAGCTGGAAGGGGAGAATGAAAGGAGACCGTGCAGGGCCTGGGATTCTGGAGCGAGGCTTTTGAGTTTTAACAGGAAGTCATGGGAGGAGGCTGGAGCAAGTAGGCTGCTTTATAAAAGCAAAGTCAGAATGAGTCAGTGAAAAAATTAGCACTTTTGGGGAATAGCAAGAGAAAAAGAGCTAAAATGCATATTGGATTCTTATACCATGACAAGAAGTGTGCCAAGTTACTGTTGAGTATCATTTAGCCTTGGCAGCTTTGCACAAGCAGTATTCATGGAGGTTTTACCCCCCAAATTGGATATTTGTCACTATGCAAGTCTAATCATTAGACAGATTCTTGGACTCAGGGTTCACATCCATCCGCCCACTTTACTTCAGCACCTGTTTATCCCCAATGACTCTTCCAGAACTACTACCTTCACCCTGAAGCCGTATGAATGTTCCCATTCAAAGTTGGGCTTCTCAGCAGTTTTACTTTTCTAATAAGTACATTATGGAGAATTTTGGCAAGCCTTCTCTAGGTCTTTTGCAATGCTTCCCAATTCAATTATTGACAACTTCTTTCAGGTCATTTGTTTGGACATCCCTTGGATCACGATTTCTATCATCATCATTTCCAGATTTGGGAACCTGTTGGTGCTGAGTGTAAGAAGTCTTCCATATTGACTATTGCGTGTTTTAGTAAAACTAACAGAGAGCAGACACTAGTATGAACTCCAATTGTGATTTGCCTTTAAAATATATATATATAAACATATATACACACATATGAAATGCCTGTTGTCATGTATGAGATCTATGGTATTGAAGTTACAATTGTTCGCTCTAAACATCCACAATAATCAGCTTGGATTTTCTCAGCGCAACTTGATCATTCTACAAGTCACCAAGATTTGCTTCAAACGCATCTACTGAAACCTTCAGATCCAATTTTGGCTCCTTCTGACTAATGTTTTCTAATTATTTCTTACAAAATGAATCAACTACTTTTCTTTCTGGCTGTTTCTTACTGGCTAAGGTGCCATGGTGATGCACAGAGAGCTGAAAGGTCATGGAGTCTTGAGGAAGAAGAACCCAAGCTTAGAGAGGATCCAAACTTTATCAGGGCCAGCTGTGATGAGTTAAGAAGCCCTCCACTGCCTACACTGCTGGCCACCCATCTCTTTGGGCTGGTTTGGGTCCTGGCTGCTCTTCTGATCAAGTTTCTAGCGACTGTGCCTGGGGAAGCAGCAGATGACCACCTTCACACTGGCATGCCTGCGTCCGTGGGGGATGCCCACATGGAGTTCTGGGCTCCTCCTGACTACGATCTGTACATCCCTGGTTACTGGCAGTCGCCTGACAAGTGAACCGGGAGATGGCAGATCTTGCTGTCTCTTCCTCACTCTCTGTCACTATGCCTTTCAAATAAATCTTTTAAAAAGATTATGGCTAGCTGCAGAAAAATAATGCATTTATTTAGAAGTCATACCCAGTTTCAGAAACAGGGCGACAAGAGAATACTGCCTTTTAAAAATTTCTGTAGATTTTGGTGTTTTCCAGGACCTATATGCCATTTTCAGTCCAGTGCTTATGCTTATCCAAGTCATAAATCTGAAAACATTTTGTTTCTGTTTCCTATTTGCTTTATAATTTTGACTTATACATAATAGTAGGACGGACTGTGACAATGAGTTAAACTGCTGCTCGGCACACCTGTATCCTGGAACAGAATGCTAGCTGGAACCCCACTGCTGCAGTTCTGATCCAGCTTCCTGCTAACATGTCTGGGTAGCAGCAGGTAACAGCTCAAGTAGCTTCTTACCACCCACATGGGAGACCTGATGGTATTCCTATTTCCTGCTTTGGTCCAGCCCGCCCCTGGCTGTTGGTGGGCATCTGGGGAGTGAACCAGTGAAACCAAAAGATGGGAAATATCTCTTCTCTCTGGCTTTTAAATTAAAGTAATGATTTAAAAAAAATAAACATGTTAGCCCATCTCCAGGAAGAGCTAAGTTCCTAATCACCCTTGGCTTAACAGGAGTCCAATTGAGCTTTATTTCCTGCTTGAGTAACACCTCAAGCTCCCTGTTGGCCGGCAGCTTTCCATAGGACCATTCAGAGTCCCAGCTCTGCCGTCCTCTTTGTGCCAAATAGTTTCCTTCTCCACCCCCAACTGCAAGGTGCCTTTTCCCACCCTGCCCCTTATCCTGGGAGGCAACTTTAGTTGACCTAGAACATCGAGCTGAATTCCTAGGCTTCTGGTTTCCAGCAGCACATAGCCAATGGCAAACAGCAGCCAGTAGGAGTGCATAGCCAATGGCAAGCACCAGCCAGAAACCAAAGGGATGATGAAGATAAAAGTTGAGATCTTTATTTCTCCCAGCCACCTCTGGCAAGGTCTCCATGTCTCCATCAGTGAAGATCACAACTCTTAGCATGTAAGAAAATACAGGTTTGTAATGGCACCCTTGAGCTGGCCTACATTCAGATCATTCTGCCTTCTAAAGGTACTGGGAAGCAGCTTGCACGGTGGTACCTTGCTGGTGTGAAGTAGATAGGTTGTAATCATTGACTGCCAGGGGGTCCCTCCCCAGTAAGAGTTCAGAGTGGGGTCCCAGCGGAGAACACAGTAGAAACGATGGAGCAAGGAGACCAAAGAGTCTCGTCCTGCGGTCCTCTTCCTAGCGGCTCCTAGCCTTGGCAAAGTCTGTTAACACGACTAGGGGGGAAAAAGCGGTTCCCAGGCACTGCTCAGGTGCTCGGCAGTGGGGTGCTTTCCCACTGTCTATCACGTTTAGTTTTCAGCACAGCTGGCAAGCGTCTTCTGTAGTGCGTGATGAACCTAAGGGAGGAAAGCAGGCACAGATTCTACAGGAAGAGAGCTCCCAGGATGACCTTGCGGGCGGAAAGGCGCATGTGCGGGGGCGGGGCCCTCACCGCGCACTCAGTCCCAGGCCCCAGGCTTCGCCCGTGGTCGCCAGGCCCACGCCATGAGGGCCAAGCGTGTGAACGGCTTCATCTGCCTCTTCGCCAGCGTGCTCTTCACCTTCTCCTGCTTCTGCCTCTACAGGATGAGCCAGATTAGTGAGTGGCGGTTATGTCTTCTGCGTCCTGGAGGGTCTGGGCTCCGACAGCACAGAAGGGGCCGGGTCAGAGATTAGGGGGAGATGTGGCCTTCCAGTAGAGGTCGCCTGCCCGTCGGAGTTAGTGACGGTGCTTCGCAGGTGCAGCACCCAAGCCGGTGTCAGGATGGCGGTTGAGCGATAACGGGCGCCCCTGGGCTGTTCCCGAGCGCGCGGTGGGGGACCCCTGGCCTTGTTGAACCTCAGTTACACCGTCCTTTCCACTACCCACGTTCCAGCTTCCAGCTGGCTCAGTCTCCTTGTCCAAACCCTTTCTTCCCTGCTGTTTCCAGAAATATGTAAAAGTCTTAATTTCAAGAACCCCGGTACCACCAACAGCTTTCCTCTGTGAGGTCTGTGTTCTGTTACGGAGCCACACGTCAAAGGCTTCTCGAACATTCTTTTTGGCGGGCTAATGGAGGGACGGTATTGACGCCAGCCGGTGTAGCATGCACATTTTCTCAAAGGTGCTGGGGCCTTGCCTGAAGACGTGAGGTTTTAGTTTTACACGTATCCGCAGCTCCACGGGCTTAGCCAATAAAAATACTAAAAGTTATTTGGCTGATTCAGAATTTCAGATAAATAATGAATATGACTTTAGTAGTCAAAACTTAATTGATTTTATTTTGAAAGTTTCTTCCCTGTCCAAAATTGAAATTAAATGTCCTACAATTTGTGCTACAAATGTAGATGTACATCGCATTAACATTTTAGGGTTCGTGTAGTGGAAATTTCAAGTTTTTATTTTAGAAGGCCTAGAAGTGACCAGTTCAGCCTTCACACATTGTCCTTGGGTTGACTTGGATTAAAGTTTCATTGAGCTCATCTTGATCATAGAGATCTATGCTTGCAAGGGGTTTGGGGCAGTTTTGTTCTGTACATTAAATTTGTGTTATCACTACGTCAAAAATTAGGAATTAATATCAGAAGATTTCTGGTAATCTGTAATTTTACAACCCTTTGCTATCTCTTCATTTTCTAAAAAGATTGTCCAAATTGTGAGATTATTTTAGAGCAACAGAAAATAAATGCACTTATAACCAAATATTTGCTTATAACTAAGGTGCAATGGCTCAATTGACTAATCTTCCCACTTCAAGGTTGGGGATCCAATATAGGTGCCAGTTTGTGTCCCAGCTACTCCACTTCCCTTCCAATCTCCTGCTTGTGCCCTCAGAAAGCAGAAGAGGAAAGCCTAAAGCCTTGGGACCCTGCTCCTGCGTGGGAGACCCAGAAGAAGCTCCTGGCTCCAGGCTTTGGATCAGCTCAGCTCCGGCCATTGTGGTCATTTGGGGATTAACACAGTAAATGGGAGATCTTTCTGTCTCTCCTTCTCTCTCTCTCTCTCTTTTCTTAAAGATTTATTTTTTATTGGAAAGGTGGATATACATAGAGGTGGAGAAACAGAAAGATCTTCCTTCAGATGGTTCACTCCCCAAGTGAGCGCAATGGCTGGAGCTGAGCCAATCTGAAGCCAGGAGCCAGGAGCTCTTCTGAGTCTCCCATGCAGGTGCAGGGTCCCAATGCTTTGGGCCTTCCTCGACTGCTGTCCCAGGCCACAGGCAGGGAGCTGGATGGAAAGCAGGGCCGCCAATATTAGAACCGGCGCCCATATGGGATCCCTGGGCGCAAGGCGAGGACCTTAACCGCTGCGCCACCGTGCAGGGCCCTCTCCTTCTCTCTTTAAATCTGTCTTTCCAATAAAAGTAAATACATTTTTAGAAAATACTTGCTTATATTTAGGAGGAAAAGTGTGAACTTTTAAAGTAGAAATTTATTTATTTGAAATTGAGAGGCAGAAAGACACACACACACACACACACACACAGAATCTTCTATTTGCTGGTTCACTCACCAGTTGAGAGCAGCCAGGGCTGAGTCAGACCTAATCTAGCAGCTTAATCTGGGTTTCCCACCTGGGCACAGGACCCAAGCAGTTAGGCCTTCCTCTGCTACTTTCCCAGGCATATTAATAGGGAACTCTATCGGAAATGGAGCAGAGAGAAGGAGAGACAATGATCTTCCATTCACTGGTTCATTATCCAAATAACAACTCCGGAGCTAAGCTGATCTGAAGCCAGGAGCTTTTTCCAGGTCTCCCATGGAGGTGCAGGGGCGCAATGATTTGGCCAGGTTTCTGTGTCTCCTCTTTGCAGACCTGCCTTTCAAATAAAAATAAGTAAATCTTAAAAAAACAAAAAAAACCAAAAAACCACTTGCTGGGTCCGTATGGTAGCTTATTGGCTAAAATCCTCATGTTGCATGCCCCTGGATCCCATTTGGGTGCCAGTTGTAATCCCGATGGCCCTGTTTCCCATTCAGTTCCCTGCTTGTGGCTTGGGAAAGCAGTCGAGGACAGCCCAAAGCCTTTGGACCCTGCGCCTGTGTAGGAGCCCCAGAAGAAGCTCCTGGCTCCTGGCTTCAGATCAGCGTAGCTCCTTTCGTTGCAGCCACTTGAGGAGTGAGTTGTTGGACAGAAGATCTTCCTCTCTGTCTCTCTTTCTCTCGGTATATTTGACTTTCCAATAAAAATAAATCTTTAAAAAAATACTTGCATATGGGCTTATACACATGTGTCATATACATGTACAAGGTCTTCAAAATATTCACAGAAAACACGTGACAAAATGCATAGACTTCTATTTCCTTGCACCAAAATAAGCATCCTAATTTAATCATTTCTACAAACAATTTGAAGCCACCTTAAGGGTCAGCAAGATGAATGGTTTTATAGAAATACACTAGCAGGGCCCGGCGCGGTGGCGCAAGTGGTTAAGGTCCTCACCTTGCACGCCCGGGATCCCATATGGGCGCCGGTTCTAATCCCGGCAGCCCCGCTTCCCTTCCAGCTCCCTGCCTGTGGTCTGGGAAAGCAGTTGAGGACGGCCCAAAGCTTTGGGACCCTGCACCCGTGTGGGAGACCCGGAAGAGACTCCTGGCTTCGGATCGGCATAGCATCGGGCCGTTGCGCTCACTTGGGGAGTGAATCATCGGACGGAAGATCTTCCTCTCTGTCTCTCCTCTCTGTATATCCGCCTTTCCAATGAAAAAATAATAAAAATAAATCTTAAAAAAAAAAGAAATACACTAGTAAATATATATTATAATTCCTCCCTGTGGACTAGAAGAAAAGTCACTATTTTTCAGTCAACACAATTTCATTTCCAAGTATGAAGTGTTCCAGACAATAATTAGAATGTCTTATGGAAGTTTAAATATACATAGGAAAACATTGCTTCCTAACAATTGCAAGAGAAGTTAAAAGGGGATAAAGGGAGCTAAATTGTTCTAAACGTGCGGCACAATAGAGACAAATGCATTTGTAGGAGACTGTCATAAGTCAGGGATTCATGTTGAAATTTCTGCCCTATCCTGTAAGTGGTAAAATACATGTAACTATGTCATCACTTATACTAAATGTTCCAAAAATTTTAAATACTTTCTAACACAAAATGGAATTTGTTGCTTACAAGAGAAAAAATTAAACTTTAAGGTCAGAAGTGTCGAAGAAGGATGGGAAAATATTTTGATGTAAATCTCAGCCAAAATAAAGTAGATGCAGTTATTTGAATATCTGCAACATGGACTCTAGAGGGAAGTGCAATAAAAATGCTTAAAAACAAAGTTGAACATCATCCATTACTAAGAGAATGCAAGTTAAAAGTATAAACTACTATTTCACATCATTCAAAGCTTTCTGTTTTAGGAAATAAGATATTTCATAAGGCTGTGGAACTCAAGGGGTTTGCACAACTTTCCTTTGGAAGAGTGTGTATTCAGTTGCTTTCATTATGAAATGTGTGTATTTTCTGTGTCTTAGCAACAGACAGGGCTGCTAATTACTGCTACTTATGGTTGGAATTGTTGTATAGCCTTACTCTTGGTGTTTGGCCAATTTCTGGTCTTGCTGTTCAGTAGCCATGCCATTCAGGTTACTACATTGTATAAATAACATCCCATAGTATAAATAACATGTATAAATAGCATGCATGTGTGTGTAGATATATGATTTTTTAATAAGAGACACATACTGAAATATTATAGGTAGCCCTTATACAATTATTTAGTAATAGAAGAGATAAGCTTGCTATGGAATATTCACTACAGTGGAACATTGTATAGTTATAAATGACTTACAACTTGGCTTCCTCAACACAGATTAAATTGAACAAAAGAAGCAGTTGCATAGGAATAGATGTGCTTTCTTTCATTTATTAATCTATAAAACGAAGTATAAGTCAACTTGTAAAGGTAAAAGAAAAAGTAAAGTAGAAAAGAAAGCAACAGGTGGTCAATACAAAACTTGGGATTCCTTTGGGCGAGGGAGGAGAATTTGAGATAGGAAGAAAAGAGACAGGATAGCTAAGGCTTAGGCAGTGTGTAGTTCATGAATGTTTGTGTTTATTATTAGTCTTTGAATTATTTATATATCTTACATGGCTAATTACATGGCTAAAACATTTCACAATAAGACCCTAAACACAGAGGGGCATTCATAGGGAATTTAAAGGGTTGAACATAGTGTCCAACACATGAAGGGGACTAAGGGGAAAGTTTTTCTTTCTAAACTCCATCTTCTGACTGCCTCTGATACTCCCCCTGGGGAACAACTTTGGGTCCAAGTGCTTGAGTAGTGAAGTAACTTTTTGCTCTTCTCTGCCCTGGGTGAGTTGCCTGCTACTCTAGACATGCTTTACCATTTCATACTGGGTAAAGTGCTGACCTCTCAGTCTGCGATGCATTTTCTCTGCCATTTGCCTTTTGGTAAAATTCCATCCATTCTTCCAGTTCTCAAATATCTCCTCTTTTCTGAAATCTTTCCTGTCACCCTCCTCTACTCCTCAGTGCTGCTTAAAAAGTTCATCATTCTTGTGCCTGGCATAGTAGCCTAGCGGCTGAAGTCCTCACCTTGCACGCCCCTGGATCCCATATGAGTACCAGTTTGCGTCCTGGTGGCCCCTC